AATGGATTAGCCTCTTTTGATGTTGACATTCAGACTAAAATCACGTGACAGGCTGTTAAAATTGGCTGTTGCATACACTTTCGCCGGTCTGGAAAATGTGTTTAGTTAGCTCTCATTCAAGTAACAATGCAGATTTCCCAGTGGGAGTGAAACTATTCGACTCTGCCATTAAAAAATAGGGGTGTTTTGAGCAAAAAAACGGATAACCCTGGAGTGCACACAACACACTGAATTTCGGAACAAATCTTGCATTATTTACAGCAGCAGAATACCACAGAAATATCAGACGAAACATGGAAACACTATATATATGTATTTCGGCCTGAACCCTCTCTATTGCAATTCCAGGAATTACCCCCCATATGTGCAACCATTTTCCACCTTGGTACCACCCAAGCCTGAAAACAAAATCTTAATACCACGCTGAAGCGTTTGGTAATAATTGCGAATACCAACTGTCAGAAATAGTAGTCCGAATAGCGACGGTTATCTCCTAATTATTCCAAATCACTGAGTCGAGTTCCGTCCAGAACCTCAAATGGCCTAAACGATGCCAGACATAACACAGTCACTCGCAATCAACTAATTAAGTCGATCAACAGATACGCAAAAATAAATTCATCACACAACTATTACTAAACGGTGCACATTTTGGGGGTGGTAAGTCCATACAGTTTAGTGATGCCGATATAGAGAGTTTAAGATTTGCGTACGTAACAGAAACGTAACGTGTTGTTCTAATTTCGTTTGCGTTAGGTTCTCAGGTCTCAGAAAACGATTAAGTACAAGCGCCCACAACGGGAACGTAATTGAAACAGGACCATGTCAATCCGTCTCTCATTGGGCAACCATAATACAACTATCCAATAAAATTTGTTATGTATTTGTTAGTTCCCAGACATTTGACAGAGTTCTCGCTATATCCATCCACTCCCTGCTGAGGTTCCGGGCCTGTTTGCCGAACCCTCTTTCAGCAGAAGTATCCTTTTTCAGTGGGTATAAATATCAGCTAAAATGCATCCAATATTTCTTATTTCATCAGAAATACACAATGTCAGTGAAAATTAATCAAAATTGACAGCGAGAAAAGCTCTCGAAAATCAACTACGAGTCAGTCACCTTGATCACGTTCTACACACTGTAATGTAAATAAATTACAATACATGACTAAACCCTTGAAAAAGCAATAGGTCAGTTACTAGGCAGTGCCAAGTACGGCGAGTAAAGCCGGGAATTAACAAGCCTTTCAATTTTAGCGTATCCTTATGGGGCGGAGCTACGTCACAAGACGTTCCACGTTGCTAAGACGCGCACCACTGTACCATGTAGAATTTCTATGGGCTCAGTGCAAGCTGCTGAGAAAAGCGGAACGCCGAGCGAAAAGCCGGTGAAAATCATGATTCGAGAAAACAACAGCCTCAGGAACTCAACTTTGAAGTAACCCTGAACAATCAAATTTATATGCGTTATACGTGCAGTGGTAATTTTATTACACTATTCAGGGGAGTCTCAACAACCATCCATACGTTTTCGGAGAGTTTTCGGCCTTTGTTTTCACCGTGATGGTTGCCATGCGGTGAAAATGTCCGGATGTCCGCTCCGAGATTTGTAGTAAGCAGCTAATGGGTATTAGGTTGTGCAGTGAATTCGTCACTGTAGCTGAGAGGTTTTGTCTTCAATATTACGTCCATTTAATTTGTTTTAATACGAAAGACATTGCCTAATTCTTCTATTGATCTTTCCTTTCCCAGATGCGGCAGCACCGGGTTCTGATAAAAAAACACTGGGTATGCAGACCAACCCAAGAAACACTTCTAACATCTCTACTATTTAGTCGTGATTTTGAGTTCTTTTTTTCTCACTGTGGTGTCTGCATTTATATGGATGGTAATTTAAAACTTTGAATGTCGATGATAAACATCATCATAAAGCTAGTTGTCAAAAAAGTCACAACGCCTCTTTGTTCATCATCACGGCCATATTTCAAATGCTTGAATGCATTTTCATTCTCCAATCAATCAACACATAAGGAGTCCCAAAGCCGTCAATCATTCTTGGACTCAGATTTCTATTGCTCTGTCTCTACGTACCAACCCGTGACGTTAAGCGCAATAAAAGATAAGAATTACTCGCTTAATTCAGAAACACTCGGGGAAATTCCTGTAGTTGTTGAACAAGTGATGTATCAAATTTTGTGCTCAACGCAGTGTTGTCTAGACTATCAGTTTAGATGACGAAGACGACTCTGTTACGTCTCTTTTAAAATGACCAAATCGCATGCTCACTACTGCATCACCGATATCACGTTTTAATTTGGTCTTTATCACTAGTATTGGCGTTTATTCATATAAGTCACATTATGAGGTGTGAGTTGCCGATGAGGGGACACTATTTCTGGTGGCCTTGCAGGATTTTATTGACGCAGAAATATTTTTCAGGCGTTATCGTTTTCTGATAATTAAGCCGTCTTCTAGTCTAAAATGACTTCCCTGGTATATATCATATACCTTGTATTGCCCGGCCTCGTAACGATTAGGCAATCCTGATGCGCGACCTGTGCAATAATTTTCCATATCATGCCCGGGCTCGTTTACCAAATACTAGTATGCGTCTATTTCCTGGATCTACTTTCTGTTTACAAACAACGCGTGTAATTTGGGTATGTGCTTCGATAACGGCTGACGATATTATTCAGTGGATGGGAAATATACCCAAATACTAGTTGAAAGCCGGCTTCCACCACAACCAATCATAAAGATAACTGATCACAAAAACGTGTCAAGTTTACAGCACTACGATACTGCCAGCTGACTGAGACGATACTGCATGGAAGATCATCGGCGAATTTCAGATATTCTTAGTTGAGCTAGAATCTGGAACTGTAAACCAAACTGCTTCTTGTCAAGCAAGTTTCTCGTTCACCGACTACAGTTTTTAACAACTGGGAAATCAACGTGTTTCCACCTGCGGCTACTACATCAGCTCCAAGAAAACGCCCGTTTTCGGACGGTCAGTGAATGACCAACTTAGTTGGACTGTAGTGTTCATTCTTAAGAAAAAGCATTCGTATATCGTATTTATTACCATTAAAATATTGTTGTAAATTTACGTTCATTTGCTGTTTCATTAAAACGTAATTTGTGGATATATTTGGCGACATTCGTTTGAGAATTGTGTGAGAGTTTTTGACGCGTTCGCGTCGTTTAGAATCCCCCGTATAAATCCGCGCCAGTAAAGTGGCCTGTTTCGATACCCGGATTAAATCGAATATGTTTTCTTTTGGGCCAGACGAGCGAAAAATAACATAACTAAAGACTTTTTTTTCATATAAGGTATATGATAAAACTTTTATGGACTGGATACGGTTTTTGCTGCCCTCGATCGTACGGCTTACGCGCCCTCGCAAGCTCGTGCACTTCCGCTGCACGACCTCGGGCCGCAAAAGCCGTAACCAGTCCATAAAGAATAATATACTATAATATATAATTGATCAAGCAATTAGTTGTTCAAACGTGAATCCATAAACCTAGTCATTGAACTGTCCAAGAAGATATACCAAAGTGTAATTATATGAATCTAATGTCAAAGTAAGTATAAATGATCGGCTTTACAACTTACCCAAATCGTTATATGCTGCATTGTAGAACGTATTGACCTTAGCAGGACCAAATGGCCATCTACATTAAGAAAAAAAAAATAAAATACTCGACAAAGTGGAATCTAACGCATTTTTCTATAGTGCGCATTATTCTAAGTAACATATACAAATGCTCAGATAAAAATTAAGCTTTGTGTGTTAAATTTTGATTAAAAAAACAGCAAGCACATTGACTGATATTTTAAGAAATTGGTATCACATAACAAAGAGAGATCTGAACATATCACATGATATAGAGATATGGAAATATGTTACATGATATGGAGATATGGGAATATGTCACATGATATGGAAATTTATGACATGGTATGAAGACGTAGAAACATATCACTGATATACATACAAGCCGGTAGGCTGGTTGGAGATCCGCTCCGCTCAAAAACAAGCAACATGTGTTTGGCCGTTTCCATGGTGTGACATAAACGTGAAGCTAACGTCGGTTTATAACTAAATGGGCCCTATACGAAGTTTGCAAAAGCCATTCATTCTTTAGAAGTCCCTTAGTTTATTACTAGGACCATGGAGGTAATGCTAGGACGTATTCTGCTGTTACATTTATTATTTCCAACCGTTTTGCGATAGTATTTTCTAGAATGAAGGCAGCATTTACAGTTCATTTAAAGCACACAGTTGCATTGAGATTACGTTGATACAGTGTAACAATGTTGGCGTCGGTGATCTCCTACCAGTGCGCAACGTAGCCAAAATAAAACGCGTGATCATTTGGACACTGGTATTACAAAACTGGTAGGAGGTAATACATTTGGGGCGAACATTTTTGGATGTTGCCATGGCAGTGGTGAACCAGGATTTTTTTTCCAATTAGTGACGGTACGACCTACCTGTGAAGTATGAACAAAATCGGCCGAGCCAAAAAAAAAAACAAAACACCGAGGTGTGAAAGATTTATTGAGTGTTATTAAACATTCACGTCAAAGGTATCAAGTTCGGGGAATTCTCCACCTTTCTATCGAGCTGCCAGTTCTGTTCCCTTTCGGACGTTTTTTCGACATTTCACAGTTCTTCACAGGATATCAACGTGTGTTAAACACATACCCGGGTTCATCCAACAAGTGTGAAAGATTGATTAAGTGTTATTAAACATTCACGTCAGAGGTACCAAGTTCGGGGAATTCTCCACCTTTCTATCGAACAAAGATACACAGAGAATCGAATCGTGTAACATTTGGTCTCAGCCGCATTGTTACTCTCCCATGGCCGCCTCAAGACTGCGCCTAACGAGAGCTTGCCACAACTAACTGAGATCAGCTTTATTCACATTCCAACTGTTAGCCAATCATTACAGAGAAGTTTAAGAGCTCGAGGCATGACCTCCACACATATAGCCAATCACGCAAAGTACTCAACATGCCATAATGTCAGATTAATTGCCCCCCGAAGTCGGAACATAACTCCCATACTTATCGGCGCCACAATGGCTAAAACAACACTTCATAGTCGACCATTATATCAGCCAGTTGTTCCAATCGCTAATTCCCTAACACACGAATGAACCTGATCATGACAAGTTACGAGCAGGTGTGGATTATCCAGGGGTCACCAGTGAAAGTCACTATAACCGCAAAAAGCGGCCTCATCTAAACACATGGAAATATAAATCATGACAGAGGAGTTAAAAGCCGTTGCTGGTGAAAAGTTACCCCAACTTTGGGGTCAATTTTCTCGGTAATGAAAAACGTAACTTTGTGACCACACTCTAACTGAGTAGAATGAGCTATGTCTGAAGTGTGTCATCCTAAATTTGTAGGAGGAGATACATTTGGCGCGAAGCTATTCAAAAATCAGTTTTTTGGCTGTTGCTATGGCAATGGTGGGCCAAAAAAAATCAGATTTTTCTTAATAACTAGGGTGAAGGTGTGACCTACCTGCTGCCAAGTTTGAGAGAAATCGGCCAAGCCAAAATGATCACAGAAGAAATAATCACACACACACACACACACACACACACACACACCCCCCCCCCACACACACACACACACACACACACACACACACACAAAACGACAAAAGTGATTATAAGGACAATCCTAGTGGAGCGGATCGCCAATAAATATGTCACTTGGTATAGAGATATGTAAATTTATGACATGATATGGAGACGTAGACACATATCACAGGATATAAATATGTAGAAATATATCACATTATATGGAGATATGGAAATTTTTGACATGTTATGGAGACTTAGACACATATCACTTGATATAAATATGTTGAAATATATCACATGATATGGAGATATGGAAATTTATGACATGGTATGGAGACGTAGACACATATCACTTGATATAAATATGTAGAAATATATCACATGATATGAAGATATGGAAATTTATGACATGGTATGGAGACGTAGACACATATCACATGATATAAATATGTAGAAATATATCACATGATATGGAGATATGGACATTTTTGACATGGTATGGAGACGTAGACACATATCACATGATATAAATATGTAGAAATATATCACATGATGTGGAGATATGAAAATTTTTGACATGGTATGGAGACGTAGACACATATCACATGATATAAATATGTAGAAATATATCACATGATATGGAGATATGGACATTTTTGACATGGTATGGAGACGTAGACACATATCACATGATATAAATATGTAGAAATATATCACATGATATGGAGATATGGAAATTTTTGACATGGTATGGAGACGTAGACACATATCACATGATATAAAATAATGTAG